TAAGGAAGGGGTCCTGCGCTTACCTGGCCTCCCCACTCCTCTTTCTCGCATTCCAGAACACTTTTATACGAACTTTCCGGACAGACCTCGTATATAAATGAATATAATATCAAGTACGATATTTATATATTAAGATTAATCCTCGAAATTTTTTATTACATCAGAGGCTAAATATGTCTGAATTGCAATCTATAAATTATTTATCGACCATTTTTACGAGTTTTCCATTAAGTTTTCCGTGTCTACCAATTTCCCCATCTATCATGACATTAAGTAGGTGTTTATTCAATTTATGATTTGTAAATACGTAACATTTTATTGCCCGTTCATATCGATCATAGAAGATTCGAGTAGTTACAGGACGACTATAAAACCTACATTGACTCATGACATAATGAAGAGATTTGTAAAATAGTTTTAACTTCTATTACTCTCATACAAACCTCTTGTATTAGTATTTTTTTTTTATTTTCTATGTAACAGACATTTGTTGTATTTTCAATAATTTTTTTTTTATTAATTTATTTATTTTAAATAGGCATAACGACAGTATACATATGATGTATAGATTAAATAATATTTTTGTGTAGCATGATGATATGTACACTTATATGGTACGTAGCAGGTGTACACAACAATTGATTATAGATTACATGCATATTAATGTCAGAATATAATTGAATAAATTAAATTTACAATAAATACATATTAATTATTATAAAATTAAAATATAAATCTAAACTAAGTACTGTCAAATCTACATACAATATTTCACTACGAAACACCGCCAACAAGTCATGGGTTACGTCTATATCCAGATGTAAACCACATATGATTACATCTATTGCACATTCAGACAAGCGGAGCACTTAATCCTAAATTAGTTTTTCAGTGGCACATAAAATGTCTTATTGATGGGATACCTTTAATTTCACTCGACAGCTTTTTTCTATCTTTTTGTAATATGGATAAAAACATATTACGTTGACTCCAAATAATAATTAGAGGAAGGGTAGGTTGGAATAAGGGTAGACGATGATGATTGTAAATGTGTATTGGTTGCTCTAAATTGAGAGACGAAATAGTTTAATCCCGATAAGAAAAATGAACTCGCTAGCTGATAGTACTGACATACAACGATTGCCGGATCAGTATTATAAATATAAATAAAAACATGATTTAATATATATTTAAATAAAAAAGCGTACTAAAAGTAACAATACTCGTAATATTTATTTCTATCACAATGTCACTTAATTTATACATTTTACAAAATCAAATATATATAGACCGCCATTGGAAGTGGACAGAACCCGTACTAGGATAGGTACCCTGGGCGATGGCCATTAAAGCCATCAGGGGATACCGGACTGTGTCCGGTAAAGTGGCGTGTCTAGTCGCAGGTTCCCCTCCCTGGGATCTCGAGGCCAAGGCACGGGCGGCCCTTTATCATTAGCGGGTGCAACAGCGCGATCGAGGTGCCCTCTCGACCATTAGGGAGGTGGGTGTGCGCAAACACCTCGAACAGCGTCGCCTGGTAGAAGAGTGGCAAGAGAGATTGATCCAGCCCAGTGCCGGCGCCAGAACTGTGGAAGCGATACGGCCAGTCCTTAAGGACTGGCTGAAGAGGCGCAGACAGGATCCCATCACCTTCCGACTGACGCAGGTGCTCACCAGGCATGGCTGCTTCGGTAAGTACCTGTACCTGTACCGGCCACACGGTGGCCAGGCGGGAGGAGGATCCCGGTTGCAAAGAGTGCGGTGCCTGTGACCAAGACACGGCGCAGCACGTTTTGGAGTCCTGTCCTGCGTTTGAGGAAGAGCACCGTGCCTTGGTCGCGGTAATAGGAGATAACCTCTCGCTCTCTTCAATTGTCGGACATATGGTGTCCAGTGAAAGCGCATGGATGGTGGTCCTTGGGTTTTGCGAGGCCGCCATGTCAAAGAAGAAAACGGCGGAAAGGGAGCGAGAGATCGACTCCTCCGCCCCACAAATCAGGCGCCGGCTTCATAGGCGAAGAAAGCAGGACCGAGGAGGAGATCCTACTTCACCGCATGGGCCAGGGGCGGCAGCTGCGAGGGCAGCTGTCACCCCATCACCAACACGGCCCGTAAGAGGCACGCGCGTGCTCCCGCGCGCCACTCAGTGAGGATACAACTACAGGTGTATCCTCACTGAGTGATGGATACATCTAGTGAAGGGATCCGCCTGGTGTGACGGACCAATGTGTTCGGGACGGGACGATTGCTCGCGCACACCACGTCTCGAAGAAAGCGCTGAAAAGGAGCACCGGGTGGTTTTAGCCGGCAAGAGTCCGGCAGTACCCACATATCTCCTCCGAGGTATGCGAGTCTGCATGAGCATTTCCCCTCAACAAAAAAAAAAGATAAGTACCCTGTGTTACGGTATGTTGGCCCCTACACTCGGTCGCAGGCTACACAAAAAAAACAGATAAGTAAACCATATTGTTAAATGTAATTATATTTACCAAAGGGAGACTTTGTACAAAAGTCGATTGCTTGGGTTCCTCTGTCCCATTCGTGTTTCTACCGTGAAGCAGTTATGTTTGCATGGCTGTGTTTCGGTTTGAAGGGTAGGATATGACGTGAATTTACAGGGTACAGAGGAATAACATCTAAGTCCTTAGGAAAGGCAACGCATGGGAAGTATCACGGGCGAAACAGTACACTCTGTTATGTCCATGGTACTGCTCATGTCTATAGGCGACGGTTACCACTTTCCATCAGGTGGGCCGTCAGCTTGTTTGCCATTCTAAGTTGTATAAAAAAATATATATATAAAAGTATATACTTTAGTTTTAGTTTAGTTATATATCCCATCCTTCAAACCGAAACACAAGTATGCAAACATAACTGCTTTACGTAAACATTGGCCGGTTAGACCCTCATAGAACAGGCCACCCTTCCTTTCCCGTAGGTGTCGTAAGAGGCGATTAAAAGAGCATGAGGGATGGGTAGCAGCGTTCCTCTTAAAACATTTCTAAAACTTAACTGCGGCTGCCAACCCGCCTGCCAAGCGTGGCGACTACAGGCAAAATTCTTCAAGGACGCTTATATTCAATAATGGACAGCTAAAGGCTGATATGATGATGATCAACATTTTTAATAACTAAAAGATTGTAAATATCTAATATTTTAACATTATACTTACATGTGCGGCCAAGTTACAATTGAGAATAGAGATCTTTTTTAGATTGATCGCATTCATAGACAATATCGTTCGTGTTTGCTATATTGCCATATTTTACCTAAAACTCTACATACAACTTGGTATTGCGTCTTATGTTAAAAACTACAATGGTAAATTCTACCCATAATTCATTCATCCATTTGTTTTGATGATATAAATACTTAAATACACAGGTTTTAAATTCGTTAAAGACTTTTTTTTCACTTTTCGCTTTACTTTTCAATATTTTTTTCTAATTTGCTCATGAGCTTATAATTACTTTATAATGTTTGAACTGTTCCGTCGCCAAGTCTAAAGGACGGAGGGAGTTTATGATGGAGGGATGGGCAGCAGCGTCCCTCTTAAAACATTATCAAACTATGGTTGCCAACCCGCCTGCCAAGCATGATAACTACTGGTAAAAACTGGTAGACTATGTCCAGCAGTAGATAGTTAACGGTTGATACAATAATAACTTATTCCTTTAACATTATAAAAATTACAACTCACACTGATATTATAGCAACGACACCAAACTCCCTGAATAATCAATATCTTAAAAAAATTATCAGAAGTAGACATTATACAAAAATCGCCAATATAAGTCTATGTCTCAATTGTGTACCGACAAGCAACTGTCTTTAATAGCAGAGCTGTTTGATTTGAAGGGAGAGAAATGACAGTTACAGAATACGGAGACAAAACCTAAGTCTCATAATAAAATCCATTATGCCCATGGTGCTGTTCTAAATGTGAGGTTAAACAACTCCCAAAAAAGGGGCTGCCAGTTTATTTCTCAAGACGTATGGCCAAGGAGTGGAACTCTCTACTTGCTTATGTTTTTCCATCTAAGTGTAATCTGCACCAATTTAAGGCAAATGTAAATATGCTGTTCATGGGCCGACGAGCTCAATCTTAGAACACATCATCGCTTTTCATCAGGTGAGATCGTGATCAATGGCGAGATCCTTCAATAATAAGAAAAAATCCATAAAAAATATAATTAGTATGACTATCTTTCTGTTCCAACACCAGAACCTGGTCATTGTTTTAAATAAGTTAAGCAGATATTAACCCTTCTTTGCATAAAGGTGGAAATTTACATCATAACATTGAATGCCCAAAAATTATATAAAAGAACAAGTTCACTTTAAGTTGATTGTCTTATACTTTTTTAATGTCCATTGCAGAAAAAAAAAACATAGCTGTCAAATTTATATTTTTAACCATTTGTTCTTTAATTTTTAACATGAATCATCTTGATTTATTTCACAGATAAAAAAATCATGTAACTTCTTTACATGATTTTTTTATTGGTGAAATAAATTCAAGACCAATAAATAAATCCAATCAATTAAGACCAACCCAATAGCCCAAACACAACACATCGACTACTCTGTAGGCTCATCATATTGCAATGTCACTGATCATAGATAAGGCATCAAATTTTAAGTTCCTGAGATGAGTTCTTTGCACCTAAATATTATAGTTACTTTTAGTATTTACATTTGAAACATTTTTTTTTTTTTTTTCTAGTAAAATATAAGAACAACTTATTTAAAAATGCGAACCCTGCACTCGAAAATCCTAAGAAAAATTTATAAACAATAATAAATTGCTTTCTTTTATATGTATATATTCGAATTTGATCCGATTTAATTTAATATGTCTAAAAAAATATAGACAAAATATTAAACATAGTTTTGACTTTTCTAATATGTAAATACTACTTCTGCCTGTAACATCACATACTACTTCCTTAAATAGATATGTACTACGGTATTTCTATATAATTAAAATAAAAACGTAATTATAGATTCAGTAACCTTTACTCAAGTGACTTTACGCACACATACAAATATTACGAAATATCGTAAATTCGAATAAATGCAGTACAATGTTTAAAAATATTACTTTTTACAGAGATCTTTGCAATCAGTTACAATACTTTTATGTTAAAAGAAGAAAAAAAAATACAAATATAGTAAATTGCTGTATTAGATATGTCTATTTGTGTCTAAATACAAACTGATTTGTAGTACATCACTGGGCTTAATTAAAATTAGCCATATTTATGTAATGAATTTGTTTACAACAGTGAAATAAAAAATTCAGTATTGAAGGGTCATTACGTAATTAAATATGTTCTTTATGACACTTTATAATTTTAATTTGAAAACATTTACTAATGCATAGTTCTACACAATTAGACACTCTAAAAAGCATGAACAATGAATTAACAAGTAAAATTTCCTTAAACTTTTCATTTCTTTCTATACAGCTATAACGGTAGACATTTTTAAGTATTTAAAATTAGAGCTATATTATGATATAAATCAACAACAAATTTTATCTACACATTACTTTTTTTCTATTTAATGATTTGTATAATTCATAACACAGTGTTCGATATTTAATATCATTAAATACAGTCATCACTCTTTACTTAAAAATCATCATTCTTTCTTTTCCTCTTCACATTTAGTTACTGCTATTGATTCTGAATCCATATTTTCACATTCAGTCACACTTTCTTTTTCTTTTCCGCCATTATCTTCGGCTTCCATATTTTCTGTTTCATTGAAGTCATTGTTATTTAGTGCATTTTGTTTTTTTTCTGGTGTATTTGTCTGAAATGAAACCAAATATTATTAATATACTTCCTATTTATGTAACGTATGCTTACCCCAAACACTTATAACAAAATATAATATGCTAAAAGAACCTACTAGCATTTTAAAAATATAGCGGTTGACGTGCCCACAGGTTGCTGATCACGATTTAAATCCAACAGCACCGAAATAAATTCTATCACCATTTTACGAACTAATCGATAATATTAAAAGTATTTTTACAGAAACAATAATAAAAATAGAAAATAGTTAAATGTAATGTTGTTTCTCATTATTTATAAAAATTAAGACGACAATAGATGTATGATAACGATTTTTTTACACTATGTAACAGAGTGAGAAGAGTCCATACGTAATACGAGTATGTAGATGCAACCAGAAGAAAAAAAAAACAGAATACATTAGTGGCATATAAAGAAAATTAATATTTTTTTACCGACACTAAGAAACCAACCACCAACTGAAGTCAGGCAGGCGGCCGGTCGTTAAATTAAAAACCAAATCTTTTAGTAATATGGATAAAAAAACATATTACGCCGACCCTATATAATAATTGGGATAAGGGTAGGATGATGATGACTAAGAAACCAACCAACTCCTTATATTTTAAATTCAACCATTCCCTCTATATTACAAAAAACATATCAGTTAGGAGGATAATTAATTACCTCAGTTTTAATACTATCTGAAGTATCCATAGAATTTGTACTAGTCCGCCGGGTTCTGTTCTTCTTTTGATATTTTGCTTCAAATTTCTCTATGAAGTCTGCCTGATTCACATAATTTATTGGTTTTTTAGCCAAGTAGCTGTCATTGACTGTGATTTCTAAAAATACATCAAATTAATAAAATCAGATAGCATTTAGCTTTACTTTGCTGACTGTTCATTTGATCCAGTTACTCAAGTTAGTTCAATTTGGAAAGAAAATTCAATTAAGAAGATTAAACAAGAATTATGATTGCTAGTTTTTTCTAAAATAAAGAACGATTGAGTGAAGAAGAGTATTGCCACTTTAGGCAATACTCAATTTTCATGTCTCTTATTTACTTTTTTTTCTTTAACATGCAGTCAAATGATACTAAATAAAGAGAAAAAAGGATATATATAGGAGAAAAAAGGATGATGTGTGTAAGAAATCATAATCGTATATCATATATTAAACAAAAAAAAAATTTAAACATACCTGAACCCAACACCTCTTGCACCATATAAGGAAAAAGCCAACCAACCAATGGCGTTTCTCCAGCTACATAATGAGCTCTCTTGTGATAAAACAATAGGCCATCTATAGCAGGTATATTATTAGGAAAAGCTGGGTAAGTTGTCATAAAACTGAAAGACACCATAATGATAATTTAATAACTAGTACTCTTAATCTTATCTAATTGTTTTCCATTTGGTAACTATGGTATTGTTGCTTTTCATCATCAAAATGAAAGACATACCGGGGGTATTACAATTTACAAAGGAAAAACCCAAAATAAATCTAAGAAGGACAACCAGCATTATCCTATCTTACTAATATAATAAAATTAGAAGTAACTGATATTTGTATACAAAAGTTATTTAAGAAAAAATAAGACAAAGAGTCTCAATAGATGCAAAAAATTTTGCCTGTATGTTTATTCCAGTCTCGTGCAAAAACTTCTGCTTCAAATGGTATGTGATTTTTATAGTTGAAGGTCCTAAAGGTCTAACTTAAAATCAGGTGTTTATTTCATGCGATAAGTGATCTAGAAATGGTCTATAATATAGACTCTATATCAAAGAATTTCCTAATTAAAAAAATTACAGATAAGGTAAAAAAAACACTAATAAGATTTTAAAACAGAAAACTAAATTATTACGGACTGATATGGGCTGTATTTTATTTTCAAAACATTAGAGATTGTTGTGAAAATTACAATAATGTAATCGATGATATCAAGAACTTGTCTATCAAACTCATTTTTAGGCATATGCTAAAATATATCAATGCCATTGCATGAGCGGACAGTGCTGCTCTTAGTGTTATTTTATTTTTGTCCTAATAAAGTACTAATTAAAAATACTATTTTATTTTCCTACTTATTTTCCCATTCAAAAAGTATTTCGATTCCAAAATCCTTCGTTAGTAAAAAAAAAAATGATGGCATGACATCAATATGAAAAAATGTAGTGACTGGTAAGAGCTCTACTGACAAGAAAATAGTTCTTAAATAATTATTAAATTCATTAGATACACTTACTTATTAAATAATTCTGGAGTACATGATACTTTTGGCAACAAACTAAAAATGACCTTGTTTCTTTTACTTATCACCTTAAGACCTGGTATTTCAGAAAGTTGTGTCTCCAGCCAATAATGTCTGAATTCTGTCTAAAATAATATATTTATTCAGTTAATACAAATGGTCAATTTTAAAAGAGATATTACATTATATGTATAAGGAATAATAATATATTTGTATAAATCGTCCTTACCTCACAATCAGTCATAGGTTGATTATTCCATGCAAGTAAATCTAATATGTACATTGTATTATTTGCTTCTTGATAGAAACAGTCTAACACACAGCATTTTTTTTTGTAAGCATTACATGTGTTACCCCCAGGGAGTTCGGTTCGAAATTCATGTCTAAAATGGCCATATTTTGTGTAACACTTTGTGCTGCCCTGTAATAGAAAATTAAATAATCAATGAAGGATTGAAAGCATTTAATTTCATAAAAAAATGAGTTCTTGAGATTCTTAAATTAAAACATTACTCATTGTACAAATATTTCTAATTATTTTTATATTTTTTCAAAATTTAATTAGAAAAAATATGAGAACTTATTATTATGATTATTTATTTTTAGCATAGAATAGTACATATGTTCATAATTTAATTTATTCAAACACTCCTGGTTTTTTATCTCAGAAATATATATTTCAATGAACTCCATAATTTTACAAATATATTTCTGATTAAAAAGATATTATTCAATTCTATAATAAATTCAATTCAAGTATATAAATGCCATAACCATATTTTTATATCACTTAAAGAAATAAAATTAACATTAAACCTTTTGTAGCAAGTTAAGTACTTTACTTAACCAAAACAAAATACAATAATAGATCATTAGTAGTAATTTTTAGTACTAAAATACACACCACTTGTACCTATTAATGTCAAATGTGTAATGTTAAGTACATTATATATTTGATTTTGTTAATATGATAGCTTAACATCACATAGCTATCTTTGTTAGTAAGGAAAAACAAAAACAAACATTAGAAATATACAAATAACACAAAACTTTAAGATAAATATGTGTATAATAACACCAATATAAATACAAAACTACTAAATTACAGATTTGATGACACTCATTTAATGAAAGTAACTACTTTATAACAATAATAAATAAATAAGAGAAGGGTAAAGGCTTTTGGCATTTGGTTCTCTGTCTATCCTGCAAGAAACTTTGCATGTAAATAAATATATATGTTAAGATGATTTAGTCAAACATATATATATATATGCATTATGTTCAACAAGATGTATTGTCATTACCTGATGTGCAACAACCAGCAATCGAGTTCCTTTGGGACAAGGAGTCACATACCAATTCTCATTAAAATCATCTGGTTTCTCAATAATCCATTCTGAGAGCATTAACACATTGCTATATGTAGGAGGTGCTCGGTTAAATCCAGCAACATAGATATTTGGTCTATAATATACCTACAAATCAAAAGGATGTTTCAGTACTTTTACATAGACAATGGCATCAAAATCAGCAGTTAATATATTTGAATAAATTAATTATCATTAGTATATAACTTACCTAAATTTATTAATATTATAAATATGAAAGTGAGTTTGTTTATGATTTTATAGTATCTTAACAGTTTAACCAATCACTATGAAATGTGATGTGCACATACTAAAATATAAAGGAAAAAAAGGATATTGGCTACATTTTATCCCAGTCATGCAAATGAAGTTGTGGGTAATAGCTAGTATATAATATATAAAAAATCTGACTAGTGTATTAACAACTTACTCTTTTAGTTTTGAAAACTGTGTCTTCTTCAACAGCATTTACAAGCTCCAGTATACCTCTAAATTTATCTAATTTATCATTGCGATTGCTGTAAACATAAAAATAGTGTAAAATTAATCAATTTTGTTTTTATATTCTTTCAGGTGAACATTCAATCTAACAGTAAAAGTGCTTTCACAGAAAAAACCTATTCATAAAAGGTCATAAGACCCAAGGGTCATCAAGTCATAAGGTCATAAGGGTCATATTGCATTAATATCAAAATAAGGACGTATAACGAAAGATTAAACGTTATATAAACATATAAACATTATAAGGATATCTAAAGATAAACGTGATTTAATTATAAAATCCAGAAACATACTGTAAGCAAGTCTGGACATGAAGAAATTTTGTAATATAAAAAACACACCTTTTCTGAATTTCCAAGATTTCTCTTCGTCTTTCTTCTTGATTACCCAGCCTACCAGCATATTTATAGAGGTTTTCAAAATTAGTTTTGTTACTTTCTTTTCCTTCTTCACTGATGAGAGTAGTCTCTAATCTTTCAAGTACTTCATCCATAATGATATCTTGATTGTTTTGTAAACAAAAATCTATTAGTATGGTATTCAGAATTAAGATATCAAATAATATTATAATTACGTATTATAATAATATTTATCTCGACTAGAAATTTAATTTCTAGTTTCAATCGTCGGTACTGTACGTCTGTTATTTATTTCGAGCAGTCAACGGGAACATGACAAAACTGTCAAGTGTCAAGTGATTAATTACTCTGTGCTACAAATCATAGACTTTTTTTAAATTATTAAAACTTTAGTAGTAAACCACTAATAATTATATATATATATATATATATATATATATATATATATATATATATATATATATATATATATATATATATATATGATTATATATTATATAAAATATAGAATAGAGAATTAAGGATAAAAGGTTATACTTGTCACAATATTTACAACTTGGATTATCAATTAAATTAAACCGACACAAATAAGTAGCAAGTTTACAGTACATTTTTCGAACCAGCTTTTGTTTAAGAGTCTAGTACAACACTAACCAACTATTTATTTTTCATTTCTCATACGAGCTAGTGAAGATATTCAGTGTTTTGTGAACTATAATATATGAACTTTAATAAGTTCTTATTGAACATGGTATGCTTCACTTGAAGTAAGACGGAAGTTAACTTTAATTGAATATATTTTAAGAGTATTTAAAGGGTATATATTATGCTCGAGCATATCGATCGAATATTATGCTCAATGACCTCAATGGTGTTTCTCAACAGGTAGGTCTTAAAATGAACATAGACAAGACTAAAATCATGTCTAACGTGTATGTCACCTCTATACCGGTCACGATTGAAAATACTACGCCACATCTTTTCATCCAAAATACCTCAGAGTTTAAAGACTAAGGTCTTTAACCTTCAAGAAAAGAGCATATTCCTTTAAGCACACCTGCAATGCCGTAGGTGTTGTGGGTGATTTTCACTTACCATCAGGTGAGCCGCATGCTCGTTTGCCCCCTGTGTTGTAAAAAAAAAAAGTGTGTTTTTCGACTTATAGAACCGAAACATGTCCTATACGATTGCTCGTATGCAAAAGCTTCAGAATATTCAGCGGGCTATGGATAGGGTGTTAACCGTAAACCCAATTTTTAATCTGTAATTTATAGCATAGACTAATGTGTATTGGTTATTAGATTGTTTCCTGCATTGTAACATGGTCAACGGAATAAAAACTTTCTCTGCGCAAATTACTGGGTTTAATTCAGATTATCCCATAAAATACCTGCTAAACGTTCAGAGGGCTATGCTGGGTCTGTTTTTGTGTAACCGAAGGATAAACAAGCTGAAGTGGCAATGGGCTAGGTCACACAGCTCAAAGAACCGACAATCGATGGGGAAGAAAGGTTCTTGAGTGGCGTACCCCGTACGGGCAAACGCAGTGTAGGACAATCCCCTACTAGATGGAGTGACGGCCTCAAATGCATTGCAGGGAGTCAGTAGATGCAGGTGGCTCAGGGCCGTTCCTTATAGCAGTCTATGGGGCGGCCTATGACCAGCAGTGGACGGATATTGACTGAAATGATGATGATGACATCAATCGAAGGGCCTTCTTTTTCTATTTTCCACTGAGAAGAATAGAGTTTGCAGAACAGGTTCTTCTTATATTCAACGGAATCATAAGTCATTATCTGGACTTGGATATTTGTATATATTACACTTTAAAACTATAAAACGAATAATCACTAAAGGCCTTTATATAGTTAATATTAAACTTTAGCGTTGTCTACAATCATTTTTAATACACTATCAGAACCACGGTGTGATCACGACAGGACTGATACGATATATAGCCACGATGTAGTGGAATCCACGTCGAAAATTCAACATAAAAAAGCAGTTATGTATGTAGGTAGGTACTATTTATCTGAAAAAGTTTTTTGGAAACATGACAATAAATTATTAAGAAAGTGTCCAGTAATTAAATTTTATTATGTTTTGTGGATTGTGATTTCTAAGTAAGCAAATTGGAGCAATGTCAAGTTTTCTTAGTTGGTAATTATAATAAAAAATAAATAAATAATATTTCAAATTGTAAATAACTAGCTAATAACTATTTTAATATAATATACTCATAAATATTGTGTAATTTTCTCTGCTCTGGCAAAATAAAGGAATATTTTAGATTACATTTTATTATATCTCGTAGGAAATTAAACTAAACTAGTTCTATTTTTGGTTTTAGAACCATCTGTATATAATCATTCATCATCATTTCAGCCATTATTCGTCCACAACTGGACATAGGCCTCCCACATAGATTGCCATAAGGAATATGTATATATTTTAACAAAATTAGTTTAATTATCAAGAAACTAGAGAAATTAAATTTTGTGCTTGAATACACTATTCGTTTGTATGCTAAAATAGTTAAATGAATAATAGGGATAAAAATCATACTCATAACATGATGTAATACGTACTTATATAGATGTTGAAATAAAAATATATAACATTGATAATGTAAAAGAGAAAAAAAAAAAACATATAAATTAAAGCAAGATGGACAAACAGAGAAATTCCTTTTCCGTATAACGGGGTTAAAAGAATTCGCATGGTAAAAAGAAAAAATTTGGAAAATCTTTAAGACCTTTTTTTCTATGTCTACCAATATGGTACAAATGATATTTTAGAAAATATTTTTACCTTTTAAAGTAATGATTGATAATGCCAAATATATTTTAATCTATGTAAAAACGTACTTTGAAAGTTGTAGTACGAAGTGCAAAATTATTAAATGTTTTACATTATATATACATTATATATTATATATTTGAATTTTTTTCGCAGTATATATATATCGGAGAGTGTATTGTACTATTGAATATGTAAGAGATAGGTTATAATTATTATTTAAAATAAGTAAATTAATTTATAATCGATACCATACAAAATTTTGTAAAATGTGGGGCGATCTGAATTGCTAACGGGGTCGATAGAAACAAAAAATGAGACGATAGAAATGCTCATGGAGAGAAGAAAAAGCCTAACAAGTGAATAGAAATACTATTCTGACACTGGGGTTTTTTATAACAATGTTTTATTTTTAAGTTTGTTCTATGTTAATTTTTTATAAGACATGTCTCGTATTTTTACACTAAACTTATTATTTTATATCACAAATACATATATGTTTTATTACTGCATCCTGATATTTACAACATAAAATGACAATCCTAGCAAATTTTTCATTAGAAAAAATTATTATTAATCCCCTCTTTTATTTCTATTCACCTCAGTCTCGGGGTGTATAGAAAATTAACACATTTTAAAAGGTTTCAAGACAACCAGGCAATGTTGTTAATAATATATATAAGGTGACTTACTATTTTTTGTTTAATAAGAGTACACTTTGCAAGTATTTCATAGGTAAAAAAAGAAGAAAAAAACGATAAAAACTTTATTTTCTATTAAAAACATATTTTTCTTCGGAGTAGATTTTTTTGCTAAATGAGGATCTCCGTCTAATAATGTAGCCACATCCGAACAACGTTCATTTTACATATTAAAAATGTGCAATATTTTTTTCTTTATTTATGTTAGGTATATCATAAGAATAATATTCAGGTACGATACACTTAATCTTAACCAACTTTTTATGATAATTAAAATGCTGCAAGCTGACGACTTACCTAATGGTAAGTAATAACTGTGGTTTATAGATATCATGGACATCACAAAATATACTGTGAGGTCCATGGTGCTCCTCGTACTGTTCATGAGGTCTATGATGTTAAGCCTCCGCACCATATAATTTAACTGCCAGTATCCCACCCTTTAAACCGAAACACAGTCATGAAAGCATAATCTGCTTCATTACAGAAACATGGATGGAAAAATTCTCTCTTCAGTAAATATTCTTTTAAATACGTCTATGATAGCAGGTACGGCAGTAGGTATAACATAAAATTGGTGTCAGTTTCGACATAAAAATTAAAACGGGTATGTTATGGTTTGGGTGTAGAAAGTCTTATGAAACAGATGACAACATATAAAACGTCAAAGTGAATGAAGAATAGGCAAAATGATTTTAGTTACGCGTCCTATATATATATGTATATATATATCTTGAAGCCCATTTTAAGGTAGGGCATTGGTAGTATTGGTAGGGCCTAAATACGGATAGGTATATAAGTAAAACTTTTTTAATTCGAAGGTGCTCTCTAAAACCTCACGATTCTTTAAATTTCATGCAATAAGAGAGATGTTGCAAATTTAATTTAAGGTGACAAAAGTTACCATTATTTTCAATCTCTTCTGTTATTCATAAAATGCGCGGGTCGAAGTTTTCTGTGTTGTATCGTAAGTCGTATCTCTTTTAAGGATTTCTTTTGATCCAGAAATTAAACCTCATCCAACCGTCGCGTTGAATAGATATATACGTAACAATCAAAGTCTCAAATGTATTCTCGGTTCATGTGTGCCAGTGCCAGTATCAATTTCTCTTCTATTCTATTTTCAAATTTGCCGCCATTTGTAATGCGCATTATACAGCATTGGTTAAAATGAAATGATTTATCTTTTTTTATATTTTTATTTTTTATTCTTTCTATTTTAAATAATAAATTAAGAAGTCCTTTTAAATTATGAAAATTCTTTTGTTTCTTGCATAAATTTTTTATTAATATTATTAATAACACAGAATTAAAGTGTGGTTATTATTAAATATTTCCCTGTATTATAGGTAAATATAATATTAAGATATATTGACAACCCGGCTGCCAAGCATGACAATTACTCGTATAACCCTCCTTATAAGGTAAGATCTATGTTCAGCAGTAAATATTTAACGGTTGACATTATGATGACGATAATATTAAGATACTAAATATAAAATATACATAATGTAAATTGACTAAAATTGAGATTTCAACTGACCAATGGGATAATGGCTCCAAGTTTATCTATATATTTTTTGTTTAAAATTCTCAAAGATCTTAAGTATAATTTACAGAGTACCTATTTATTAATTAATTAACTCGATTAAAAACATTGTAATTACACTTAATTTATTTATATACTTAATTTAGCGATACATATATACATATTTTTTAATATAATCTTATCATATTACATCTAATTGTACTACATTGGATATTACATAAATTAGATTTATTTTCAGTTTTATTTGTATACTATAAAAGTGAAATAATCTATACTAACATAATAAAAAGATAAATTAGTGAGTTTGAATGGGGTAATTTCCGATACTACTGATCCAATTTTGAAAATTCCTTTATTGTTAGAATGGAATATTATTAAATGCTATAGGCTACTTTTTATTTTAGTAAATATATATTGTTTCAATAATTAATCTCAATAAATGTAATTAAAGACGACAGAAATTGTATTATATGGTATGTACCTACTGCCTGAACGGTTTGAAATAAAGGAATAAAATCTATAGCAAAAATATTCATTACATTTAGCTTTATAAAGAAGTCTGCGATACCGTATATCTAAATTTAATGTCTCAGCCAAAAAATGGTTTTTATGTTAAAAGGAAAAAAAAATCACAAGATTAAGTTTGAATACAAGTTTCACGTATATAATTCACAAATTATTATAAAAACAAATAGCTGAATGAAAATTTTATGGAGACAAAGTTTACTTTTTACAGCATGTTAATTGATACAATTAGTTAGAAGATAATGCAAAATAAAAACCATAATTATTGCGTTGTCGTTGGTGCTAGCTGTGCATTCTTGTACAGTAGACGGAGCGCAGAGGTGAGGGGCACAAAAGAAACTATATAATCGTGTGCACATTAAATTATAAAATAGGTTGTTCTTTTTAATAAATTTAAAGAATACTACTGTAGTATTTTCACCCACGCCAAAATACTAGGGTTACTAAAATATGTTAAATAATTTAAAAATTACACAACCAAATATTGCACCCGTGCAAAGCCAGGGCGGGTCGCTAGTAATAAACGTAATTATTAAGCAGCGCGCCTGATATGAAAAAAAAGCTTTAAAATGTATTTTTATACACTATTTTTATAGCTTTTTAAATAATATGGTTAAATGGAGTTTTTTAATATGATCATGGTAACATTATTGCTAGGATACGAGTTTCACCGAACCTTTTTCTATTGGTTGCCGAGAATAACCGAATGTCTGATTAGGTCACGTGGTACTTTTGGAGTCTTCGTGGCGTAGCTTGTTCAGCTGCTCGTCGAAGCGGCTGTCGGACGGTCGCTTGTCAGCGAGCCTTCGTACGATGTAGCGGCCATTTTTGTTCTTAGTTCATAATAGCGTGCGCATATTTTAATGTATTTAGAGAGATATTTAGGATTTTTTCACGATGACTATTATAGTCTTTTTAATAGATACATCTGCTTCCATGAATCAAAGAGCTTATTTGGGCGGACGCCCAACATTGCTCGATGTAGCCAAGGGCGCTGTGGAAACGTTCGTAAAGGTACGTGCAGTGTCATCGACTCGTCAACCGCCTAGTTTTTGTGATCGATTTGTTTATCGCGTGTGTTCAACTGATAAATTGTATTTCTTAGGTTCGTCAGCGTTCTCCTGAGAGCAGAGGGGACAGATATATGCTTCTAACTTTCGAAGAGCCACCCGCGAACATCAAGGTTAGTATATCAGAGTGAACACGTTAATGGGGGGTTTCTTGTTGTTTAAACATATGATGACATATCCAAGCCGGTTATGCGGTGTCCACCTATAAAGCACTTTAATCTGTGATTCAGACCATTTACATACTAAGAAATGTGCGAGATTTACTGAAATAGCACGACGTAAACAGGACGAACCGCCGCCGTTGCTTGCTGTCTCCGCGATAGAGCTCGCGACTGCGTTCTCATCGCATTCTGATTGGCCATGCCGATAACCATAGCGAAATGGCGATTAGGGGGGAAATTTAAACAGCGCAACAGTTTACGAAATTATTTCAGTTTTTCATTCGTAATTTGAACTATTATTATTATGCAGTGACAGACAATATACATAACATATATCTGCTGCTATCATTTATGATATTTACAATTGTAGGTACCTCCTATTTCCTAAATTATCTATCTATTTTTAAATTAAATCTCACATGATAATGCTTAACCTACCTATAAATATGATTCCAGGCAGGCTGGAAAGAGAATTTAGCAACATTTATAAATGAATTGAAAAATTTACAATGCCTTGGTCTGACAACTATGGGGGCAGCTTTGAAGCATGCATTTGATGTTTTGAATATAAACCGGATGCAAACTGGAATCGATACATATGGACAAGGACGGTGTCCCTTCTACAATGAGCCTTCAGTTATAGTTGTTATTACTGATGGAGGAAAACTTTCATGCAATGCTGGCATTCAGGAAGAAGTGAGTATTTTTACATGCCTACTTTAAATTTTATTATTAAATTGTATTAATTTGTTATACTTTATTAAAATCAATTCTGAATACTTATGATACCAAATTACAAGTGTAATTATTACATTTAAATATTTTTTTCCATGTAATTATTGTGATTATAGTTAAAAAAAATTTTATGCAACTTAGAATGGCAAACAGGCTGACTGCCCATTTGATAAAAAGTGGTAACCGTCACCTATAGACATGAGCAGTACTATGGACGTAACAGAGTATACTGTTTCGCTCATGATACCCCCCATACATTGCCATTCACTGGTGCTCCACCAGCGTATCTCATTAGCGCAGGTACAGTTACCATTACCATACCATTTCCACCCATAAAAAAAACCCTTCAAATCGAAACACAGCCATGCAAACACAACTGCTTCACGGTAGAGACATGAATGGGACAGAGGTGCCCTAGCAAACAACTTGTACAAAGTCTCCCTCTGGTATTACATGGTAGTTTCACAGTTAAAAGTAAGTATAAGTACATATATTCATTTCTCCTAATAAGTGGTATTACAATCAATAAACATCCTACATCCTTAAAATATTCATTAAGTTAAATTTGCTTGTGTAAAATTTCCAGCTGTGTGTGTTACACTTATTGTTATCTAAAATTGGTTTTATGTTGTGGTTTCATGATTTTTTTCTAACTGAAATTGTTAAATAGGAATATCATTTATATTATGTCATGTCTATGTTATTCATATGCCACATATACTGTGCAAAATATTTATTTACTTTTAAAAAGGAGAATGATTTATATTAACCAATAAGTTCAATGTGTATGAATGATTGTGGAATGGTGTCTCAGCCTGCGTTATTTAAAATACTATTCTACTTCAAGATAGTATAACTTTAGATAAGTAAAAGATTTTAATTTAAATTCTAAAATTAGGAGGCTTTTATTGCGTTTTTTGGTGTATGTTATATTTTTATAGATATTCAGATTTACATACAATGTTATTGATGTATGAATAAGATTAGTTCGGTAATTATCTTCACTGTTTTGTGTTGTAGTTGGAAACAAAGTGTTAGTATAAAAAATACAGAAAAATATTATTTTTTGTAATTTGGGTATGATTTCTCAAAAATGTTGCAGCAATAATGTTTTTCAATTTTATATCACGAGCCCGAGAATTCAAATTCAAAACTGGCAGACTTTTTACAGATTTTCAGTCATCTTTTTGCTCCTTATTTCTAGTCTCTTGTGGGTATATAAAGAATTTAAAATGTAAATTTTGTTTTTATAACTTTAGTAGCGTTGGTATGGCAATAGGACTTATTTCTTTATAAGTTTTGATTAAGTTCTTGACCTTATGTAATTGTAGTTGTGTTTGAATATTGGATTTTCCACATTTCTAATTTATGCGTTATAGTAGTTATTATATTAAAAGTAATTAAGTGTAATTATATACTTTTAAAGTGTGTGAAAAATTCTTATGCTATTTTAATGCTTTTATCGGCTATTTTGCATTGTAATCTTATAGTTTTAAGACTAAAGTGAAACCATTCAAATTATCTCAACACTTCCCAAAAGCACGTTTTATGTTAAATGTGACTGCTATTTTTGTTCAGTACCTACATACCTATTTTCCTATAAAGTCTGTTATCTTAATTGCATACTTATAAATACTCATACAAAAAGACATTAAGCAATCTAAACTTTGAAACAGTAATAAAGTTCTAGTAAAAATTTCATAATTCAACATTGTAGGCGATCTGAAATAATTATGGCATTATTGTATAAAATAAGACACATACACATGAGTTGCAACTGTATGTATGTTGCTATTAAGAACCAAATATTAGTGTTTTTTTTTTACGAATCTGTACTAATATAATATATAAGAACCAGTTTGCCCATCTATTCATTTGTACAGTACAAATGTGTGTTGTGTTGCATCTACTTGTACTTGTTTTACTGAGGTTTGTGAAGTAAAGAATTTGATGTAATTGCAGATCATAAAAAGATATATGTAGACATGTAATAATAGTTAATAAAACATTTAGGACTTTAACTAGCATCCATATGGCGATGAATCTATCCTATGATAGATCTTTCGGTGCTCGAGCCCGTATTTATTTATTTATATCAGTTTGTAGACATAAATGAGTATATCATACATCAGAAAACAATACAAAAATGTATCTATACACAGTTTGCTAACCTTAATAATGTAAATATCATTAGGTTAAAAGTAAACGTTATAATGCTTTTACAAATATACAGATAATTTATACTATTTCGAAATTATATTTTTTTAAAGTATAGGGCACTTTGATGAATATTGATGATTCTTACTTTTTTTTTATTGAAGAATTGACACGTCCGATGAACAGGATTATTTGGTGACACATAATTATTAGTTGATGGATACTATTTCTGAATAGTCGAATATGTCTAAAGGATATGTAATCAAGTTCCGAGACATTGTTAATAATTCATTTAACAACCCATTGCAATGTTAGAAAGTAAGCACAGATCGTTAATTCTTTGCCTGGATTCCAATATGAGTTTGAAATACTTCATACCTCATTGTGGTTGTTTTTAAGATTTCATATTAAACGTTAATATTAGGAAATGTTATGGTGCGACTTAGTTTATATTTTCTTTAAGTTTGAAAAGGTATTTTGACGTTATTCACCTAACTTTTTTATTAATAAAAAAAAAACACTTTAATTAGTAGTCTTGATTTGAAATTTATTATAATTATGCAATAATAAATGGAGTTTATACCGCAAAGTTTGAAGACTAAAGTTATGTTCGTCAGTGAACGGATAATAGCTGAGATGATGGTGATGATGATAAATAAAAAAGTGGATGGAGTTTACTTTCATATTTCTATTTCAAAAGTGATTTTTATTTTTTTCTGATATTCTAAAACAATGAAGATGAATTTGACATATTTTTATTATCTAGATTTCTAATAGAGAGGAAAAATGCAGTTATTATTAATAAATAGTTACTGCATTTTTCCTCTCTGTATAGTTAGTAATAACTATATAGAGAGGAAAAAAGAGAAGATAAAAGAGGAAATATACTAATAGTTAGCAATAAATATTAATAGTAAACAATAAAGATAAAAAGAATTAACAATTTGAAAATTTAAAATGTATTTTTAAAATAATGTATAAGAAAGAAATTATTGATTTCATCAGTTGATAGAATTTTTGGGATTTTGTATGCATGCCAAAGTATCTTCTTAAATTTTTTATTAGGACAAATAATAATAGAATAAGGGCATCACTTAAGAACGATTGAACCAATTTATTTATTTATTTTTGTAAATATTTACACTTAATATTATGCTTCCTCTTTGAGTAGGGTTTTTAAGGGAACAAAAGAGAATTTTGGTCTGGACGTGTGTACGATCAACTTTGTCAGTATTAATACATGCATCAAAACATTACTTGGTACTTTACATTAACTTACCTTCGTTGTTTAGCTTTTACCAAAAATTTGTTAAGTACAAACCTACTTAATCACTTATTCTAAATATGTTTGGTACGTACTTGCAATTATCAGTGTCAAATTACGTTTCTCGGTCAAGTTTTATTGTTTGGTTGTGTTTAATATGAATACGTGACTCATTGGATAAGTATTGTTAAAGAGGTAAAGTTTGTATAAGGGGTTAATGCATGAAAATAATGATCCGATTTTACAACTTCCTTATCTTCTTGCTTATAAATGAGTAAGTTTATATTGAATTCCATGGGGGTCAAGTCGCGTGGCATAGCTCGTTTTATTTAGGTGTAAAGTGAATTTTTAAATTATTTTTTTATATTATTTTTGATTGTGACCTATATGTTGGCAATTTGGGAATTCTGTATACCTGGATTTCCAATAAGTACTGTCGGTTTACTATCACTATCGTATATGACAGCTTTATGGAAATGACAATATCCTTGCCTATCCTAATATCTATATCAGTATTTTTTTTTAGTGGGTCAAAATGAAACAGTGACCCTGCCTTCGCTATCGGTATACACTGGCGGGGCACTAGTTAATGATGATAGGTGACTATGAGAGCAGGTCTGATGGCTCATCGTGACGAATTCAACAATTATTAAGAACGATGGTTTCTAGGGGGAACCGCGTGGAGATCGACCTGATAGGGTATATTGTTAACAAGGTGTCAGTTGGATCTTATTAGTTACAATCCCTTCTCTCCCCAAAGATGGCTTAGCATACCTTCCGAAGTACGAAGAAGGAGTGAACCATTTATACATAATTCTAATATGAATTTGAATAATATAGAGGTTTAGTCTAAGATTAAATCAGGACCTCTGGGACCCACACCTAGCGCAATTCGAGTGAGCCATCGCCGCTCAAATAGCAATTATATATACCCTTGACATACTTATTAAGTTAACACTGATATAATTTAACACATATAAATAAGAAAGATTTATCATCATTATATCAAATTTAAATTTTAAAGTTTTCATTGCTTACATACCTAAAATATGATCATTGTATTTTCATACTTTGACGACATATTTATATGTGATTTAGAGGAGAAATTTCTCAATTCGTCTGTATTTTTGTCTCTATTTTACGTCGCTAATTTTGATATTTCAATTTGCGATAGAAAGGTTTTATATTCGTCTTGGCCCCATATTTTCATTATTATTTATTCAGAGAATTTTCCCCCAAATACTGTGATTTTGGAATGAACTTCTTGCCGATATTTTCCTTAGAGATTACACTGAGGGGTTCTTCAAAAAGGGCGTAGTAAGGTTTCTCAAAAGGTCGGCAACGCATGCGTGACACCCCTGGTTTCGCAGGCGTCCATAAGTTATGTGAACCTTACCATAAAACAGGATCTATATTGTTTGCCACCTTAGTAGTATGAAAATAAATTTGAATGTTATGACAATTGTGTATAGTTTTTTTACTGATCAAAAAATTGCGAAGAAAAATTTAATTATATTTTTTTAATAGTTTAAGTAATTCTTTTGAATTATAAATTAAAATACTTTCAATCTAATGTGTCTGTGAAACATCTTTACAAAGATAGAGGGATTGTTAGTAATAAGGATACCCTCTCAGGTCGACCTTCACGTGGTTTCCATTAGAAATAATCATGGTAAATTTGTAGTGAAATTGCTCCGAAGGGCTAACTGACCTATCTTGATTCTTATCGTTTCATCCACCTTTGGTGTCCCGCCATTGTATACCGTCACTATTAGCAGGTACTCCTTTCCATCTTTATCCATAAAAAAACATCTTTATTTTTATTGGTGTATTTTATGTATATTAAAGGCGCTGTTTGTTTTTGTGGAGCAAAATGTACAAGCTATTAAAATTTATCAACAGCCACTACATAATAAAGTCACTATTAGTACATACACAATGTTTTTTTTTAATATAAAAAAAATCGCTTGTTATTCTTGATGCGATTTTGAAAGGCATTTATCGACTGTTACTGTTGTGGTGAACGTACGCATAATACTCGACATGCTCATATTGCACCAAACATACGGTTGAATCCAACGTGGCAACGGGCGAGCCTATACCATAAAAATGAATATCTATGTAGAACCGACACTTCCGTGAATTTAATAACATATAACAATAATAACAATATCTATATTGGCCCGCTGATGGGTTGCGTCGAATTCGCGTTCTGTGGTGACATAATTATAATAATTTTAAGATAACACATGTGTCGTACGTGGCATAACGTAAAATTATTTGTAAAAACGTAATAAATTAAGTCCATGGAAGGGTTAACACGACTCTTTCAACTTAGTAGATTGGCGGCATTGCCACTTCTATATTATTAACGATTAACGAGTGTCATTTCTACCCTGTCTATTTATTCTGCTGTTAAATACCACCGTCGTTGCTACTGTACAGATTTTCTTAAATTTTTTACAATGAAATTTATCTTTTCATTTCAGTTTAATTTGCCAATGAACTGCCCCATTCCTGGGTCTGAATTGACCAGGGAGCCTTTCCGATGGGACCAAAGACTGTTCTCGTTGGTGCTGAGATTGGCCGGAACACCTGCTGTGGAGAGGGACACTGGTCTCGTGCCTTCAGACTCCTCACCTATTGATGCCATGTGTGAAGTTACAGGAGGTGGGGTTTTTTTTTTCAATTATAATTTCATACAATTTTAAACAATTCATTCTTTTATAAGTAACTATTTTCTTTAATTTATTTAATTATATTGTTTGCCTTTTTTGCATACCTATACTTATTTATTTGAAAATGAAATCTGTTACTCTATTGAAAAGATGTTTACAACAATTAGGTCAACTTATTGTAAAGCTAGGTAAATATCTCCCATGTACAGATATTGTTTAGTTACGATTATATTAGATGTATATTTATTCGTGTTCTTTTATTCCCTATGTTGTATAGTGCAAATAAAATATATATTTCTTCACTATTATTTCAATTAGAGGAAAAATTAAAAAAAAATGTTATTAATTTTTAATTTTTCCTCCAATTTAAATATTACTAACAGAGTATAAGAGGGTTATAACAAATAGACAATAAATTTCCTTGTTACTGTGATATGTATTTAGTTATTGTATAAAGTTTATTTTCAGTTATGAAGCTAGTCTTTTTATACTAAGTTATTTAATGACAATAGTAATATTAATTTTTTCAGTTAATGATTATTTAATTTTTAATAAATTGAAATTTATTTAAGAATCCTAAAGACAATAGTCGGCGGCATTTTTTACCATTGATAAAGTTTATTGCGGATCGTCTCAAAGAGTTTTTGCTATGAATAAACATAATAAAAAAAAAAAAAAAAAATTCTAATCGTAAAATTTCTCCGGAAACATGCAAACTTAAAATTGTTCACAGAGGTTTTTCATTTGCTGTAGACAATCATTAGGCACGTTTTTATTATTTGTACTATTTACTGAGAACTAATAGCAGAACCTAGGACCTAGTGAAATCAACGGAAAAGCTACCAACCAGCAACTAAGCTGTTATCGTAGTAGTAGCGAAATTCTAGTTTAACAATTTGACTACTTCAATCAGAAGTTTCATTTTAGTTCGTACTCGTAATATTCTATGGGTGTCATTAAATTTTAACATTGATTTTACACGTACCATAAATTTTAGATTTTATTAAGTTGGTGTTGATATTTATTATTCTTTATGTAAGCCCTTTATAAAACCTGTCCAGCTACTTTTTCTCTGATTCATTAGGTGTCAAGGTGTTCTTAAATATAGGTATCGATATTTTTGAATTGGTTTAAGCTCGGTGATCGGTCGTCCCTCGAATTGGGGACCGCTAGACAGCAGAGGTCGCCAGTTCGGAGGTCGACCACATACTCATTTGTTGCAGTATTCGGCCGTTCATTTACCTTCCTAATGCTCCTCAAATATTGCGTCTAAATGGCGCCTACCATGTACCCTCTTGTATAGGCATTCCGTCACCCCTATCGAATAGCCAGGACAGGATACCTTAAATACTGTACCGGAAACCATTAAAATAAATCGGTTTAAGCTTAATTTTATTTGTTGTAATAAAAATACAATTTTTTATTACAATTTTATTTAATAAAAAATGTTAATATTATATATATTATCATTTTTTTATACTATACGATAAGTTACACGAATACTAGAAAATCGAGACTCACAGAGGGCTCACCTTTTTTATTAGTAGTAGTCAATATTACTAATATTAATTTTCGACTTAATGTATTATATATTAAAATACATGTAATTATTTTAAAAAAATCATGAAGCTTAATGTACTTGTATCAGAGATTATGTATCTATAACGCAGGTAATAATTGTTTATTGCTTCCCAGCAAAAATAAGATAATAGTGTTTAAATTCACTATTATGTTATGATTTCCTTATATCGATTATGTGATATTATTTAGAATAGTCGTACTTTGTTCTTTATTGGAAAGTTATTATTTATGTACACGACCGGTTTGGAAACATCAGGCTAATTAATATAACAATTATAAGTGGATACTTCTGCAAATCATAAATGTACAGAAAATGCGTTAGTGTTTATTTACTTTAGGTGATAAACGCGTAATTAATATTCATATTCATTATCTCAATGTTGTTTCATAACCATTTAATGAAGATTTGGCAATCAGTATGACTATTAAAAAAAGTCATGGTACAAATACTATTTATATAAATAATCATCGTTATTAGTAACTAATGTACATTTAAGCACGATTTCAAATTGTTATTTATAAATAATGTTGATAAGGAGGAGAATTTTGTTATGAGATCCTAAGACTTGTATTTATTGAATCTGATATATGGGTATGAAAATTAATTAAATTAACTTATGACCTAAGATATTATACATACATTTATAGAGAACAGAAAGACGAATATATAAATAATAGACAAAGAATTCTTTATTTTTAAATATGACGATACACAACGAACGTGATACAATATGAATATTTATTTATTAACGTTAGTAGTATCACAACGTACATATAATTATTTCACCTTTTTGTATTCTGTTTGTTGAGGTATTACATATGATATTATTAGGTCACCAATTTGAATTTATTATGACGTCATATATACAAATTTAGACATGACCACTTGACGCCGTAGGGACTCAGCCAATCATTGTAAGGTAATATATCTATTATATTTATTTTTGGGAAAGAGAATTAAGTATCCTACTTTTTATTTAGGTAAAAAAAAAATAATATAGTCGCGGGTATAAACTAGTTTATATATACTTTTTGTTGTATTGTATTAGTTGAGGCCTTTCATATTATACCCATATTAGTTATCTTGGATGTGTGATGACGTAATTTACTCCATATCCGTATTGACCACTACATTCCACCACATTCATTAGAAACATTTACATTCCAGTGACATAGTAAACAGATGCGCGTATTTGTTTGAAATGACCAAAACGAATTCTTTCCTTACAAATAATTTGCTTTTAGATATATTGGAGAGTAAAACTTATTTTCGATTTTAGGCCGTTCATATTGCATCACTTCGCATCGTATGCTCATGCAGTGCATAGACAGCTTAGTGCAGAAAGTACAGAGTGGTGTGGTGATTAACTTCGAGAAGATAGGGCCCGACCCTCCGCCTATAGACGGCGGTAACAACAGAGAGGGTGGTGACCAAAGTGACGATGTTAGTCACGATGCTGACAAGGAGATGGACTGTGAGGGCGACAGGAATGGGGTGAGAGCAAAACATAGTTTATTAAAAAAGTAATATTGGCCTTGAATTCAATTTTTTATTATCTATTTATTCGTATTTCCAATTTAATTTTTTTTATTTATCTGTAGCGTTGGAATGGTGGTCCGTACCAAACGGGTTTGACACCCAATCAAGGTGCGAGCGCGCCACAAGCGTGGCACTCGTGTCGACGCCTCATCTACGTTCCGCGGACTGTTGCTCAGAAGGGCTTCGCTGTCGGCTTCTGGCCCATACCGGAATCTTTTCGGCCGGATCCCAATGCACCGACACTGGTAAGTATATCAACATTATTTTAGAACTATTATTTACTTATTATTCAAGTATTCGGCTAGTTATCGCCAAACATTGTTTAGTTTCTTAACGCCGTATACTAGGTCTATTTTTTATCTCTCAAATAAAAGTCGGTTAAATCGTTTCAGAGATTAGCGTGAATGAACGTCGTGACACGGGGTTTTTAAAAATTAAAATGTATCAGCCGTTCCATTATATTATTATATTATTTATTATTCCATATTCTCTTGTCATTTGCATACCTCTCTCTAAATATATTAAAATACATAGTATGTTAATCATGATTAAAAATATTACATAATAGTAATATTGAAATGGGAATTTGTTTCATAACATGTCTACTATATGTTTTGACAACGTAAGACATGTGTAAATATTGAAAAAAAAAACAGCCAATACGATCCTATGCTATCTATAATTTAAAATATATTATATTTTTTTATTATTTAATATTATTTATACTTATAAAATTAATTTATTTCATAATTTATTACTTATACATAATAATAATAATTTATTTGCATGAATATGGTTGAAATAGATTTTAATTAATGTTATAGAATCACTTATTTAGCCATATTGTTTTAATAACGTGCAAAATGATAGTCTTATTTACTTGTAAATATTTCCGATATTTTCAGACCTTATACTAACAATATTTCTTTTAATATATATTCATTCATCTAAATATATAATTACTCTGGATACAATTTTTGTTTAGATATAAATTTTATCATGACTGCTGACTCATACTATTCTGTAATATATACATATAATATCAAATAATATGAAGATAGCAAATGGAGATTACTCTGTTTACGACGTTATAAAGCTTTACGCATTTCTGTGACGCAAATTACGTATTAATGGCTTAATTGTTTTATTTATCACCTTAAAGGAACTAATCGTCACATTAATGGATTATTATTTTCTTAGACGAATTTATTAATAGATACATTATCGCTACTACACCAGGTGGAAATGTGTAAGTTAACGAAACTGTTTGCTTACTTACTTACTTATTGTTTTGCCACTTTTTTAGGAATGCATTATATTTATCATGTTTTGTATAAAGTTAATATTTAGTTAATAATCACAACCTGGGCACTAAATCTTTAACTATGTATCAAGTGAAAACTTATCAGTAAAAATGATAGCCTGGCTTATCTTACTGCGCATAAGACATTAGGTTAGGTTAGGGTAGAGTTCTTGTAACTAGTCACATTTTATTCAATTAAAACTGCTTTGTATTTTTTTAAATGAGTATATACATAACTTTAATAAACATATCTAATCTTTTGAGATGTATTTTATAATTGAGCCATTGATAAAGTTTGGCGAATTTCAGACATTGTTATTTGTTGCATGTTTAATGAGTGATAGTACTATAATTCCTATATTGCCGATTTATATTTTGTTATGTAATTAATTTTAGCCACCCCGTTCAGCACATCCGGTAGTCAAGTTCACTTGTTCAAGTCAGGAGCCCATGGTGATTGACAACTTGCCTTTCGACAAATATGAACTGGAACCAAGTCCTCTGACGCAGTTCATTCTAGCCAGGAAACAGCCAACCATATGCTGGCAGGTTGGTACATTATTCTTAATTATGTTGAATGTTATATATTTTTATTCATTTTTATTAACAATTTAATTTTTTACTTGTTGATTAATTCAATGTAGTCGCTAATAGTGTAAATTATGTTAGAATATTGATTAACTGTGTATAGATGTGGGCGATACAAATATAATAGGAAACCTATTTAATAATTTGATATTATACACAAAACAAAGAAGGTAATTATTATATTAAATAACAAAACAATACAAAAAGAAAATAGGAAATAATAATTAAGTACAGAATGATTAAGAATTGCTGTTGTTTTGAAAATTGTGTTGATGATTGATTTATCATCATATTTTGTTACTAATTGCAGGTGTTCGTGGCGAACAGCGGTTGTAAGAACTCTGAAGTCAGTCATCCATTTGGCTACTTAAAAGCATCGACAAACTTAACATGTGTCAATCTCTTTGTGTTGCCGTACAACTACCCAGTATTACTGCCTTTACTCGACGACTTGTTTAAACTACACCGTTGCAAGCCAACTCCAGAATGGAAGCAGGCGTTTCAGCAGTATTTAGACAGGATGCCGTCGTATTATGTCGCGGTAAGTTGTGTTGTTTAATAAACAATAATGAATTCAATTCAAGAGGCGAGTTTGTTGGGAAGGTAAAAAGCTAGTGCTCCAACTGATGGAAAGTTGCTAACGTCACCTGTAACGCTAGTAGCACCATCCTCCTATTACTAGTCTCTCTTTTAATAAAATCAAATTTCTCAAAATCTATCTCAAAAACAAAGTTTGGCATTTTTAGTCACTTAGAGACCGAATTTGATCTGTAATTGTCTCTTGAACTTAATTGAACTTTGTACTGTTTTGTAATTCACCAATTCTCAGTGTTTTTATTAATCTAATGAAATATATTTGGGATAAATTATTAAAGACACATGCAAATGTTATTATGAAATATGTTTGAGTGACAGAAATAAATTATTCAAGTTCTACAGTGGGTAGTATGCATATTAACATAATAATATATGTTTCGACCTTAGATGAATAACAGTTTGAGACAATGAGTTGCATGACCCTTAATGTAATGTACAACATTATGTTAATATTCCGACATAGTTTTTAGGTATTTCATTTTAAATATTTCTGTTTCAGCCATTACGCAGGGCCCTAACGAAGATGGGTGCTTCGACACCGCTATTGCAGAGTTTAATTCCCGACATGCAAGACAACTCGCTCAGCTTTTCTGTATTGAATTATTTGAAAAGACTGAAAAACCAAGCTAAGATTGAATTTGACAAGCTGTGTGCTGATGTCATAAATAAAGCTTCTAGTGGTAATAATCAAAAGGTAATTATTTATATTTTAAACACACCTTTTTATATAAATTGGAATACGAAATAAGCTGATGGAATATTTGATGAATGGTAGTAACCGTCGCTTATAAACATACACACAATGACGTACTACGTACGTGGGATACTATGAGATCCCATGTGTTGCCATTCTTTAAAATGAGAATAATTATGGAATATATAATGCACATAATGCTTATTATATTTTCACTGTCTAGTCCTTAAAAAATGAAGATATATACACATGGAATTTAAATAGATTAATAAGAATATTTTGAATTTTTCAGATAGCGGAAAGCGTGCGAGTGATGCCTCGTTCTCCTCTTAAGAAGGAGCTCACCACACACCCATGTCTACAGGACAAGTTCACGGCGTTGCGCGACCAGCTCAACGAGTTCGGTGGCTTCGTGGTAGGCCTCTCGCGTGGGCGCCACAAGACGCAGGCGCACACTTATCGGAATCCCTTTGATATACAGAGGAGGGATTTATTGGACCAGGTATGCTGCTGCTTTAACTACGATAAAAGGTTCTAATGTGTTAATAAATTATAAAAACAAATTTGATATTTATCAAAGTGTGGCAAATGTGGAAATTATTTATTAGTTTTCAATTTATTAGTATGCTCTGATACTGAACTAAAACTAATAATAAAATAAAGTAAATAAATGTACCACTATAATTTATCACTTACTTCATATTATGTTTCTATATATAAATATTTTTTTATCTTCAGTGTCCTAATTTTCAGTGATAACTTCATAAGAACCTTGATTGATTAATTAATATTTTAGTTTGCCATAAGAGAAAATTTCAATTAACGTAATACATATTCAAAATCATAAAGTTTAATTGAATTCCATTCACTCGTTTATAATGAGAAAACAACCCGACGGAAAATAGTTATGATTTAATTATAGTATGGATTTAGTAACAATTTACTAATATATTTTCTCGTGTCGTGTTTCAGGTGGTGCGCATGCGCGCGAACTTCCTACAACCGTCACTGGCGCACACGCGTCTCGTCGATGAGGACAGTGTGCACTCGATGCCGGTTGCGCAGATGGGCAACTACCAGGAGTACCTCAAGCGGATGACGCCGCAACTGCGCGAGATTGAGTCGCAACCCGTGCGACAGCACATGTTTGGCAACCCTTTCAAGATAGATAAGGTTGGTTCACAACATTAACATTTTGTTTATAATTTCCACCAAACTTTTTCAACTCTGTAATCATACTGTGAATGTGAACTTCTCTATTTCTTTTAATCTTTTATATTATTAATGTATGTTTTTTTATTTAAGGTTTATACATTATTTTTTGTATTTACATGTTTTTTGCATACATATGTGTATGCTAAATATTCTGATTCAAATAGACTTCTCGTCTCCTCAACATCAATCTACCTAGGTTTTTTTTTGGATTCTTTTGATATCGATTTTTTCTATAGATGTCTAATATATGTGATTTCTAAACTATGCTAAAAAGCAAGACTATATATCAATAATCTATTTATTACAAGAAAAAAAATCGGTTAATATATTGCTACTTACTGCTTAGTTACAATAAAATAAAATAATAATAATTTATTATTTTATTTTCAGCGAATGATGGTCGACGAAGCGGACGTGGATCCTGTAGGAGCGGTCCGTGGCGGCGGTGGTGGCGGTGGCGCAGGCGGCAAACGTGGTGCCGAAAGTCCCCGCTGTGCTCCGCCTAAACGCAAGGCGGGTCCGCTGCCGCGACATGTGGTAGCGCGGCGGCCTACCTCTTCTGCGCCGTCGTCACCGCTACCTCCGCCGCCGCCACTGACGCCGCCGCTGACGGCACTGACGCCTCCGCCGGCACCAGTAACGCCACCTGCCCCGCTCGCACCGCTATCACCAGTGTCGCTGCGACGGCCTGCGTCACCGCTTGCACCGGTTCCGTCAGATTTGCCGTCCGGTCGGCCACCTGAGGTCAGTACATGTTTATAAAAAAATATTGAATTATGTCGAATGCCTGTAGTCCCTACTCTTTGGCTATGGAAACTGAGTTTTAAAGGCTTCTATTTATTTATAGCAAGGCAACAGATTACATATTAATACATTAGTAAAATAAACGTTACATAAAATCCTGTCCTTCCAAGATGTCTTGCTGCATGCACTTTTATAATTTGTCTCAAATATGAACATCGATTTCCTAGTCTTTCCCACAATATAATATGGTTTTCTGAAATCAGTTCAGTGTAAGAGACAATTAGTCAACATTTTTGGCATGGCCTTATAATTATTTAACTATTTAGGATGTAATGATATATTTAAATGTGCCTATTAGGAAACTGAGAGGAGAAAGTTTTTTAGACTGGTAATTGTAAAAAGTTAAAATTTATTCATTGGCCATTGGGTTTCTGTTGATTGTCTGAAAAGTGTAAAAAATTTTGAATTAGTACTTCTGACATCTGCTTTTTACAAAATTTAGATGTAGTTGTTTTATGCTATAATTTAAAGAAGTTTTAAAAGTTAGTAACCATTTGGGAACCATTTCACATCTGTTGTCAGTTTTTTTAATATATGCGGCCGACGTATTGCTTTTTGGCTATTTTGCTCATTTTATGTGTTTTTTAAATATCACAATTTTTAATTATATCAAATTTCCGGATATAGCTTATTGAGGTAATTATTATTAAATATTAGAGTTTAATTTAAATATTTTATGATGTAATTATATGTTCTGCAGGAGCCGCCCAATGTAGAAACAGGCGGAGCGCCCGTACCGCCACCGCCTGCAGTCGCCGCGCCCGCTAACCTGCCGCCTGTTATCAAACCCTTCCTAAATGGAGGTAATTGTTTAATTGTATGGTGTGGCGATGGAGTAAGAATACAATGTGTTACTACTTCCATTCATTCTTAGAATATTGCAAGGGGTAACCAAAAAGGGTAAATAAAAATATAATACAGTAACATAAGAAAAACAAATTCCGAAATAAACAAAGTTGCGATTTGCTAGCTATGGCGGTGATAGGGTTTTTTTGCTTTTATATGAGTACAACTGTTAATAGTCTATGTGTCGAGATGGAATAAAATATATAATTTTATCCACTATAAAATATATAATTTTACCCATATATTTATTTGCATATTTTATATTCTTTGCTTTTTAGTTTCCGTCTTAAAAAGACAGAAAAAAATTATATATTAAATCTTATGTTAGGTATTTAATACTAATATGTAATTAAATACTATGTTAGGTATTGATCTATTACGGTGTATTTCTTATTGGAGATTTACATACTTACTGGATATTAAACCTATAATTTACTGAGGTTACACACATTTTAAGTAGTATGATATATTTGTACAGAAATACAATGTAAGTGATGGTATTATTATTTCCTGAAATTTCCACTGAAGAAGAGAAAAGTGTTTTGCGATCCATAGCTCATAAATAAAGGATTTGTTTTTGTGGCAGACGCTTATACTACAATGGGCAGTAAGGTGTCGCGGTCGCCGTCTCCACCTGACCTGGACTCTCAGGAGTTACAGATCAACGCTATTCTTCAGGACATTGCAGCGGAGAATGCGCATCCGAGACCACGGAAGCGGAAACGGAAGGTACGCGGTGGTATCTTCACATTAGAGAAATCTTATAAATAATGGCTGACGCCATTATTTATTCTGAAGTGAGATTTCCTGGAACTTAAATGTTAACTTGATAGCGAAAGTACCATGTTATGGGTTACAAAATTTTAATTTATAGTTCTTTCTCTACAAGGGACTTGAAGATAAAATAGTCGTGTAACTCATTTGTTATGTATCATTATATAATTATTTTAGTTAAAATATTGTTATAAAATATTTTGTAAAGTTTACATTAGTACTAGCTCTAATTAAACCTAAAAAAAGAAGATAAGTAATATTTTTGCATTTGGTTTTTATATTTGATGGTTTTAATTTTGAACAAAATTAATAAATTAACTAGATTATTATTTATTGCGAATAAGAAATAATGTTTTTTCAGAGATAAAATTTGATATTTTTTTCTCACGTTGATTTATACATTCTAATCATATTCTAATTATTAAAAAATTATCTAGAGTGATAAGCCGGTCGTACCTCAGTTGCCCCCTCAACTGTCTCGAAAGGAGTTGGCGGACATCAGAAAGCACAATTTGGACGTACGAGCAGAAGTGTATCGCGCTGTTCGACGTCCAGGCAAAGGTCAGTTCTATTATATCTATAGATGAGTGGTAGATATTTACATTTTCATAAAATAATTTTTCTTCTCGTCTATTCTCGTATATTTTATTATGTTTACAATGCCATCCAGTATCCACTAGGGTATTATAATAGTATAGAATAATAATATAGTTGTAATTGGTTGATGGCGGCGTAAATAAAAATTACAATATATTATAATATTTTAGAAATATTTTTTTTTGAGAGGGTCAGATTTTTATGTACACAAAGTTGTTTAAAGAATATAAATAGCAGACAGAACAAGCACTAATAAAATTATTAATGGTAATCATCTGGGATGTCGTATGCTTTTTGTCGTATCATACCTTTGAAGCATCTTTTTTTTTAAGAAAGTATATACTTAAATTTTCATAAAAGTGAAAATGTTTTTTATATAAGTGAATTACGTAGTTTTTACTTGTATAAAAGTGTACAAAAATACTGTGTTTTACAAATCAGTAAAATTATAGTGTAGCCGTGCCACTGGATGGCTTACTGTAAAGTTTTTAATTTTGTAATTTGTAAACATTGCAAAATTAGTTAAATATTTACATATATTCTTTTTTATACCATATATTTTTACACAGGTTCTTTGAATTGCATGTTAATATCTTATGTTGTATTAATACCCATATAAGTAGATAAATACTGATTATGGCAGTAGAGACTTGTTGGAACAAGTAAATATTTTTATGTATCAAATTACTTATATAAGTTTTTCTTCTTTTCAGATTTCTCGAAACTCTTCGAACATTTAAAACAGTTAAAAGGTAGTGTAGATGTTAAGAAGGAAGTGATACGTGATATTATAAATGAGTCATTAAGGTTCAAACGGAAGGCTCTTGCTAAGTTATTGGAAGACTTTTTGGCGGGTCTCGAAAAGAACGGTAATAGTGCCTCAGTAAGCATGAAGAGAATCACGAATTCTTTATACGGCAACGCTAATCATAGCTAGTGAATATGGATAGAGTCATTTGTTCATAGTTATCGAAGTCAGGAATGTCAATCTCAGTGCAGGAATATGTGGTGGTCACAACTTCGCGACTAATGTCACCGGTGCCTGTACACAAGTATCAAATGATTCCATTTTTAAATATTTTACACGTCAATGTAGTGCTGAAGACTTATTATAATTAGAAATTGTAATTAGTTGAAGGAGAGCAAAGGCAATGTTCACTCTTTTTTTTTTAATAATTTATAATGACTGGCAACTTTATCTCTCAAAATGTAAACATAAAATAAGTTGAATGATTAATAAAAATATTTTATTATTTTTGTTCTCTATCTAGAGAAACATTGATGGTATAAAAGTAATTGGAAACCTTTAATAATGAAATAAAAATGAAATAAATGCCAAATCTATAGTGGTAGAATCATTACTATAATGCATAACTAGCATTTTAGCTTAATACTACTTTTTAAATAATCATCCAAAAATATTGATAATCGTTCGATTTTTTTCGAAATTTGATAAGTAATACAGATTTCTTACTCTATTAAGACATTATTTTTTATAGAACAGAATTGGCAAACAAGTTTATCGTCTGCCTGATTTACGTGTTCAGTAGGCTGATTGTAGTGGTTTTATTTGATCTTTAAAATTACTTCACTAAGGTTGAAGCATAAATATATTTGGAAATGGAATTGTTAGTTACTTTTTTAATTAATATGCGCAATTATCTTATTTGTATTGAAGTGCAAACTATTCTAATCTGGACTTTTAGTTGACTTTTTTCTTTGTGTATTTGACATTTTATATTTGACTTTCGATTAGTGATTTACATTAAACACCGCTGGTTGACCTGCTTCATAATGAATCGGACCGCGTTGTTGACTAAACAAGGAAATGTGCTCTAATCCGAGCATCTGAATAAGAAATTGTACAGCTGGGTAAATGCTTAAAAGAAGAATACGCGTATAACCGTACAAAATGCGCGCGCAGCTAAACAGTTTATCAAACAGTTGTATAAAATGTTAAGTGAATGTCATGCAAATGTAAACTTACAATAATATAATATTATGGTGTCTTTATGTTTATCCTCAAGTGAGATTGTAATTTTAACGGCTACATTCAAAAAATATTTGTCTACATAATACTACTATATCTTTATAACATGTCAAATAGGTAAAATCATTCACTTACACAAATTGGTGGCGTTCAATGTTAGTAAAGAAAGAATTTAAAACTAGCGTGACTACAATTTTATTTACGTTGTGGTAAATAGTGTGAATTGCCCATTGACTTCGCTGGATTATAAATTTTTCTTAATAATATATTATTATAAAATCAGTAAGTTGATGCAAATTGGGTAACAAATGGTCGAGGACAATATGATTTGCTTTAAATGTAGTCTATTTGTGAAGAATCGTAATTTGTCCATAGAGCTCTTTCAACAAATGTTTATATGTTCATTCCAACTATATGAAAAAAGAAAAAAGAAGAAAATATAGATTTACAAATATTATATTGTTTTAAATGAAATTAAGAAGATACATTAATAAAATTTAATAAAATTCTAAAATTAGTAATAATATAAAAACATTGTAATAAACTATGTTACTGATTCATTGTAGTTTACACTTCAAAAATATTCAAGATATTAATTTTATTTGAAATACATTGATTTATGTACTTATTCTTTCTTATTCATTTGTTTACTGGACTGGTACAGTATGTTAATAACTTTTATAGCACTAACATAAAGAAGATTACAAATGTGAAATATGTTTTGGAGTGTTATAAAATGTATATCTTATTGTAAAACCCGTACATAGTTAAATCTTAAGTTTTACCAGTAAATCTTAGGATTTACCAATGTGAGTTGGTAAATGTGAGGATTTAATAAAAACAAGACCTTTTTCGTATCTTTCACTAAACTAAACCTACCTTTCTGACCTTTTCTTTACAGTGCTAGACATAAACATGTCTAATTCAGTGTATGATGTTCGTGTTAATGGTCAGAGAGGTAGGTTAGGTTAGGTTTGCTTTGCTTTGGTTAAGATTTCTTAAAATTTACTGGTAAAACTTGAGATTTACCAATGTACAGGCTTTTACAGTAACATATAAACCAAAATGTCACGTGCTCAGGGTCGTTACTCTACATTGTTCGAGGCATAAAATATTTAATTAACATATTTATAAAAAAATCTAATGAACTCTAATTTTGTTCACGTGCTGCTTTCTAAGAAGATAAATTTTTTTATAGCGCTCTAATTACAAATACCGACCACATTTTACCCGTGTATAATTTCTCATTTAAATATGTTACATATTGTCTTAAGATTGACACAAATGTTTTTGTTTTCTATTGTAAGTCGAAATAAATATAACTGGAAATCAGTCATTTGCTACGTCAAGATTTTCATTACAATAATTACCATTCAATTTCTTTATTGATTGCGTTTAGGTACGATTCATTAGAAAACTTAAACAGTATAAACGTATGCTCGTGACTTCGTTAAAATAAAAACCAGCATCAGTGTATTTATTACCTACTTATTGATGATCTCACCTGATCGCAATGAACAGGCGCGTCTCTTTTCGTGCATGTCTTTGGTAAGTGATAAAAGTAATGATAACTGGCAATAAATATTTTATATACGCGAAGCACAGTTTGTGACCTTAAGAAATGGTACATTATTTGGATGTGAGTTTACTGATTGATTAATTATAACATTCATATCACATACGGGAAATTTATCAATGCATTTATTTACAAATTCCGTGCATTGAATTGTAATGATATATTTCGTTAGGTAATCGAATAATAAAGAAATATGAGCTTTGTGATTTCTGACTTTACGAATGTTGATCAAAAGGACCAGCAGCTTTTTTCTGTCATTTTGTTTGTTTATATGCAAAGAAAATTGTGATGAAATAAGCAATATGAATTTAGAACAATCTTTACGAGGTGTCTTAATTTGTGCAAAATGACAGTGAAATTGTGTTTCAGATTGTAAATACGCATTGTAAATAATATTAGAATGTATTATTATTACCAATGAAAATATATGTGTAGGATGCTTTTACGCATCGATCACTAAATAGTTAACGTGGCCGGGCCACACGGTATGAGAATATTTGGTTATATAAAATGTTTTATTAATTATACTGTTAAATTTAATTTACAAAATTGTTATTTTCCATAAGCAAATAATTTCAAACTGCTGCTAATGTTAGGATATGGCCCGATCACATTAATAGACGTTCGGTCAATTGTAAAGTGTATTATATCTTTTTCTAAATAAATTATGATCCTTATTGGATTTTTATTATGTGTTTCATTGGATCCCCAATTTCGTAATATTGCAAATTGTATCTGTATTTTTAGTCTTGATTATAAATTGTATCTGTCATTGTTTTTTTTTTTTTGTGCTGGCTTTAGTTGCAGATTTCTTTGTAACATAAGATGAGGAACTATTATCTCTATAATTTATATCACTGCGAAATCATATCATCGGATCAACATGAATTCATTTTTTAAAATATTTTTAAAATTCTTGTAATTTTGGTTTATAATCATCCATAAAACAGTAATTTTGAGAAATTATCAAATTAAAATATAACTTGAGAGATAGGTTTAGACAAATACCATAGTTGAGAATGGGCTCCAGTACATATAAATTTGCCTATTTTCTCCATCCCAATATCTGTATACTAAATTATTTCGGATGAAAGCAACCAGTTAGTGATGATTAAATCATGTGAGTTAGCTCTTTGTAATGAATTCAACAAGAATTGATAACGTTGTCTTCCAGGGGAACTTGTGGGGGTCAATAGGGTATATTGCCAGTAGTGGGTCTTCCATTACTTATAGTTCCATCTTTCAGTGAAATGTTATGAGTGGTTCCCCTAAAAATTTGCTCTCTAGAGATATTTCGACGGTTTGGAGCGAAGTAGGTTTTACCCTCCTATTTGCAGTCCTGTTTGCATGCTTTAACGCTCACATATCTGTACAAATGTAGCTTTTTCCTGCCTTTTTCCCATATCTATTTGGAATAGGCGTAGTATTTTTGGTTTTCCAGTCATCTCTATTTGCGGTCATCTCATTAGTAAGGCCCTTTCTGACTGTCATCTGTAAGACATACTTTATAACCTTTGTAGGTTTTTTTCTGTACTTCCATATTTATACTTAATATCTTTCTTATCACATTATCTTATTTCCTGTGCATCACATGCCCATATCAAGACAACCGACTACTTTAATATAACTACCGGTTTATTATTATTATTTCAGCCGTTAACTGTCCGCTGCTGAACATAAGCCTTCCTCATAAGGGAAGTTTTGCCAGTAGTTGCCACGCTTGGCAGGCGGGTTGGTAACCGCAGTTAGGCTTTTAGAGTTGTTTTACGAGGGACGCTGCTGCCCATCTCTCGTCTTCCCTTAATCGCCTCTTACGACATTCACGGGAAAGGAGGAGGAGGTCTATTTTATGCCGGAACTACACTACCGGTTTCACTTACGTGTACCGTCGGGACTATCGAGTCGAGCAGCTGTAACGCGAGTGCGAGCCCCACTGGACTTTCTCGATCAAATTACATGTAACTTAAACCGGTAGTTATTACATTAAAATATAATATGTTTTTACAAAACTTTTAGCAATAAATCTACTTCTCAATTTTTCTATTACAAGCGCTACTTTAAAACTTTCTTAAGTATAATGGTTAACCCAAAAAAAAGTCTGTGGCAATAAAATGTCCCTCGGTTGTAAAAAAAATATTTGTTTGTATATTACATATATAAAAACAACAGTTAATTAGAAACTATTATAGTTAATACTTGATACGTTCTTTATTACTCGTTAGGTCAGTTGGCCCAACCATGAAGTCTGGTCATGACTTATGCAGCAGCAATCACCCCTTACCTTTATATACTACTACTAGCATGCCCATTATTATTTTAATCTTTTAAAAATAAAGTTAAATATAACATATTTACTTCTGATTTAATTTTTTTACATATTAGCTAACTCCTGGGCGGAAAGGGAGTGTTGGCAATGGAGTTTGACAGACTCATTAGAATAAAGCAAATAATTTTTTTTTAGTGATTAATTATGTTATAATAATGAATAGTTGGAACTAATGTGTTCTTTGAAATGTAGGTAGGAAAGGTCGAAGGTCCGTGGGTCGCTTAAAAGTATCTATAAAGTTGTCTAAAGTATTAAAATAAAAAGGCAAATTTATGTCTTAAAATGATATCTGTCTCATTCGTTGGTCTTCATTCTAGTTATTAGTTTTGCCCAAGGCGGCCAGCCAGAAAACCGAACAGAGGCCGCAACGGCAGGTATATATAGTGTTACATTTACCATAATGGCAATAGTCAACAAATGTTTCTGACTACCTCTTAGGGATTATAGTCGTAAGTATGTATTTTTAAGTAACTCATGTCTAAAAATTGTTAATCTACAAGTTCAGTATAGAAATATTTAAGCTTGATTATTTTGTAAATTTTGACGAAGTTCAATGTTGAAACTATTCCAGAAATTGAAGGCGATGCAACTCTGCAACAACAAAGATAATGTAAAATGCAAAATTGGATGCGGCGACGAGCTCGTATTTCTAAGGTGCCTAGGTACTTTAGTTAGGTATATGTATAACATCGTTAGGTGTACATTGCATCGTACTTAATACCTATAGATAGTTCATCCTCTTTGGGGATGTTGCAATAATATCACTAGTTTGCTGCATAAATGATCAAGTGTGTTAGTTTGTGTAACATTAGACGTGCACATTGCCTTTGTTGAAACTAGTACATTAAAAATAGGCGGCAATATTGTCGGCTTTGCTATTGGTATTGAAGCAGCTTGACACCGAAGTTTTTTTTAGTGCATGATAATTTAAAAATGTGTTCCACAAAATAGTCGATTTGAATTTAGTCAAAACTAGTTAATTCAAAATAGAATTAAAAATTGAACTACTTAACCGATTTTGATAAAATATGCATAATATTTAAGTATATAGGTAATTTCAGATAAAAAAGAATCTTCCAAATTGGTTTATACTTTATGGAGTTATGAGGTAATAAATACGGAAAAAAAAATACAACCGACTTAAGAACGTCCTTTTTTAAGTCTGTTGAAAATGGAATGGTACTGTTTGCGTTATTGGTTAATGCTAGCGGGAGTAACAGGGAAAAATAATAGGCGAAAATGATAACAAATTGGTTCAGGAAAATGGCCCATCGTGACGAATTGACCAGAAATTAGCCATGATGTTTTCCAAGGGAAATCGCTTGGAGGTTGACCTGATAGGGACTATTATTATCCATGGAACTGATAATCTCCATTATTTACTTCGTGTTCTAGCAATTATATGTATAATTACATATAGTAATTTTTATCCAGGGTCAAGAGTTTTGTCACTTGTCTGCATCTGCATTTATAAAAATAAGATTTAAAAGTGCTTGTAAATAAGCTACTTATAATTTATAATACTTGAATAAAATGATTTCAATTTGATTTTGTAATACAAAAGACAAATATATAAAGATACCTATAGGCCTTATATTCATACCTAGCGACCCGCCCCGGCTTTGCACGGGTGCAATATTGGTTTGTATAACTTTTAAACTGTTCAGTACATTTTTGTAAGGCTGGTGTTTGTGTGAAAGTACTGCAGTATTATTCTTTAAGATTTTAAAATGAACGGCTTGTAAAATTTATTTTATTTTTAACAATTAAACCATCTTTTTGGGTGAGATATTAAACTTAGATTATATGGTTGAGATTGCGCCGTACATCTTAAACTTACAAAATTTACCTCTTTATATAGATAATATATATTAGCATAGATAATATACATAGCGAATCGTACCACCTCTTTCATTAGATAGGTAAGTTTAACCTTAGCTATAAACATTATACACGTTAATATTACGTCTATCGGTCATATCTACAAATAAGTATTTTTAAAATCTCTTTATTAATGGATGTTCTTTCTTAAAATAATAATAAATTAATCTTTTTAAAGTTCCTTAACGGTAGTATATAAATAATTTATAATGAATTATTATAGCGATATGTAATGTAGATAATAATAAATTAATCGGGTTTTTAGTAATACGAATAATCCGGGATTGGCGGAATATTATAAATAATATTTTCTTAACAAAATTACCCAATTTGAAGCAATGGTATTAAAATTAACAGTAAATTTAGACTATTCTCGTAGCACCGGCTGTCGTTCCATGGTCACTGTTATTTATTGCGAGCGGGAGATTTATTTACATTTGTATCCATTCCCCTATCTAAATTACGTGCTTTATCGCTATTTGTCCGGTTAATGCGATTTTTACTGCTGGTGATGATACAAAGGGTCCCGTAGCATGGATGATTAGGAATTAGGACAGGGTATTGCATCTACTTAATATACAATTTTTTCTTTTATTGTCTAATATAATGTTGTTTTTTATCCGTAATGTAGGTGCATATACATATGTTAATCAAACTGAGATTTATCAATATTAATTTTTAAGCGACTAGAAAGGAGGAGTTTTTAATGATTGCAATATATATATATATATATATATATATATATATATATATATATATATATATATATATATATATTATGTGATGAGGTGGTGTCCAATAATTTGAGAATTAATCCCGTATCAATATAGTATACGCGAAGACAGCAAATTTTATATTTAAACTTATATAGAAGAAAATGAATCTGTTATATATTTCTTTCGTCAATAATCCAATTAGTGATCTAAATTGAACTGTTGGAAAAATAATAAATTACTATATATATTCAATACAGAGAGAAGATTATCCCAGATTATAACTGTCTGTCGATCCGAACCAAATAGCAAAGGTGACGTGAATCCTCGCTTTTATCAAATTTATGAGCACACGTCCTGAAAAATCCGCCGCTATTTGTACTTATCTACAGTATTTTTAAATTCGGGAAATATTTATTCCTTATATCGTTGTGAATACTCATATATAACGAGTAACTATTTAGAAAGTATTTAGATTATAAATAAATTAATTACTTCGTGATTTGTATAGCACTTAAAACCGTTTTCCGTAAGGTCGCTGCTAAGACTTAGAGTATAACAAAGGGGGTCTAAAAACTCTTCTATCTATCTATCTATTTAAGAGCTGCGCTCTTGTCGGTGGAGCTCTTGCCACTCACTACGATTTTCAGCGAGTTTCTTCACGTCTTGATACGACACGACACCAACTCCTTCCTTGATCTGCCTGATGTAACTATGTCTCGGTCTCCCTCTCCCCCTTCTTCCTTCTATCTTACCTTCTATTACAAT